TTATATAATAGCGAAAAATTAATAAAATATTAAAAGTGCTCTAAAATTTTGTCCGCTGGGATAAAAACGTATCCATCAGTAATATTTGAAAAAGATGGCTTAACGAATTCTGACACCACAGGCTTGTAGCCCTTTTCGAGAGCTATCGAAATCACTATTTAGTTGTCCCAAACAAGTTGTCCTTCATAGAAAAAATCGCGAAACAAAAAGTGCTCTAAAATTTCGTCCGCCACTTTAGATTGAGAACCACCCACATTGAGTGATAGCTTAGATGCTACTCTTCAAAACTGTATTGTTGATGAGTATTCATCTTCAAATATGATAAAGATAAGAAAAAAATACAAATGGGGCCGTTACTTATGAAACACCCTTTATGTCATAATTTTGTATTTTATTTTCGTTAGAAATTAATAAAAATCTATTGAAATATAATGCAAAAAAACAGCCTGTTAGCATTCACTTAAATGTAAAATCTTGTGTATAGTAGGGTACAAGATACAAAATCTGTGTTGTAGGGTAGGGTTAGGGTAAGAAGAGCGTAGGGTAGGGTAGGGCCAGGGTATCGAAATTCTCGCAGGGTAGGGTATAGGGTACGAAAAAGTTGTACCCTGCAGGACTCTAGATGATGGGAAGAAGCTGCTTATGCATAAGGATCGAAAACTAATCATCGTTTGTATGGATATTAAGCAATAAATATTTCTGTTAAAATTAATCAAAGATTTGTGACACAAGTCAATCATTATAATAGATTACGTAATTTAATATGATACAATTCGATTGAACAAGAAGAGATTAACAAGTTCATTTTTGTGTTTATGTAAGCTAATGAACGGGTAATTGATGGGTCAGTAAATTGTCTTCTAGCATATTATAAAACTTTAGAATATTTTTTCGGTGAAAATCCGCAGTTAGTTTCGACCAATCACAAATCTCAAAATAATCGACGATTTATGACCATACATCTGCGTTACTCAAAAAATCGACGATTAATCACGATGCATCTACATTACTCAAAAAATCGGTGATAATTGCGAAACATCTGCGTTACTCAAAAAGTCAACGATCAATCGCGACTAATCGACTGTTTTTTCCTTGAAAGCGCAATGAATCGTTAACTTTTATGAAAATCGCGATAAATCATCAAAACTTAGACGATTTTGATGACATGTATCATATGATACATAGTTGAACATACCAATCTTGGAGAGGTTCCAATCTTCTTTAGTATAGCATACTCCATATACCCTTAAATTAGTTTTCAGGTTAGAAATTACTGAGAATTGCTATCATTTCTCAGCTAGAGTCAAAAAATATTAAGTTAAATAAATCGCCGATTTAATCACACTATATCGCTAATGTAAAAAAATCGTCGATCAATCGCGATTAATTGACGACCTTTTTTCATAATCGCGATTTTTCAAAATACTAACGACTAATCGCGACTATGGAAAGAAATCGCCAATTAATCGCGATTAATCGTTAAAACTTAGGCGATTTTGACAACATTGGTACTAATTGATATATTATCGTTGTCTTCTGCATCGTTTTGCTTTTCTATTTGTATTTTTTTAAACATTTTCAAATTTGATGATTATCAATAAAGAATTCTTTGTTGTTCAAATATATTTTTATAAATAACTGAAGGAAATACATTTCGCACTAACAAGTATCGGAAGACCAAAAACTCATGAAATAAACCATTGTAATAATACAATGAATATGATAGGATATTTCGATCGAAGATGTTATCGTCGTTCAGGTGTAATAGCAAAAATACGATAAAGTTCTTGACCAAAAAATGTATGATTGAGCGGACCCTATCTACTTTGTAAAAGGGAATCACGCAATGCACATTGTTTATCATTTCTATCACTTGACAAACACATACTACATTGAGAATAAAACCACTGATTATAGAATTAAGTACCTATAAAGTAGATCAATAACATAAATACATATAAAATTTCAAAGAAACGCATTGATAATGAACATAGTATCTATTATAAACTTCAAATTTGTTTTCTTTCTTTATATGAATATATCAAAGAGTAGTTCATAAATTGATAGACAACATACATCGATTGCCATAGAATAAAAAAAACAGAAAATTAATTAACTTAAATTTTGAGTTTCATATATTTAATTATTAGAGTGTTTCCGACATTCCGTCTAAATTGAAAATCTATTAACTGTAGTATCTTTTCGATTGGTTTTTCTCTGTTCGCGTAAGATACGTTTGATAATTTTTAAAATTTCAAAATTATTTAAAACATGTTTTTTTTTCTTATCGTAGTACAACAGATATAATATTAATCAAGAATCAAGATTGTCAAGTATTGGTGAGAAACATGACAAGTGTATCGTATACTAGTACCTATTCTTAGTAAGGTTATTGTAAAACGAAAAAAAAACGAGATAAAAAAAATATATCGATTGAAGTGATAATGAACTGGTATAGGGATGAAGAGAATAGTTCTATATATTAAAAACTTGTGAACTTGTTTGTTACCTAGTTGAAGAAGAACGAGATCATTTGTAAGATATTATGACTGATAGAAGTAACTGTTAAAAGAAGATGTAGGAAATTCTTTTGTTATTATTCCACTAATAGGTTTATTTTCGAATTAATTATTCTCTCGTAATATTTTCAATTTTATATTGTTGTTTATACGCAAGTGTTACAAAATGAAACACCATTTTGTAAGAAATATTATAACATGACCAATGTAAGAATCATTGGCGGAAAAATATTTCTACAACTACCGATAGATATGGTCAGCTAGCAACCGAATTCTCTTTTGATGATATAAATCTTACGTCTTATGATTACATAAATCAAGCAGTAAAAAACAAGGCACACATCTATCTGAAAAAATGAGATTTTTCATTTGTTATTCAAATATAATGGTGCTAGATTTATCAACATATCGATCAATGTCTTTGGAAAGAAATGTTTTTGACTTATTAAATGTCGAAAGGAGTCTTACATCATTCTACTTATTGGATTGCCTACATTACATTGAGTCAAACTATTTAGAACAAGTGATAAAGTACTTGCGAAACATTTCATCATCGACCCTAAACTTGCGCAAGGTATTTCACAATAACATATAGGTTTAGCAATAGCAAGCATCTGTGATAGTGACTCTACGTGTTTTTTTTTTATATAAAAAAAGAGCACACTTTATTGACTAATGTTGCATTCTATTACTTTTTTTTTCTCTTTCCATGGAATCATTTTCCCTTAACTGATAAGGTAGAAGCAAGAACGAGAAAAAAGAACGCAAGTTCATAGAATTGAAAAGACAAAACAAAAAAACATCTTTAGTTTTAGATGCCTACAAGGCCTCCGAATCCGAATCCATCACTGAACGCTAGCAAGTGTTCACGTCTATTTCAAGAGTAAGTAACTTTATTATTTGTCCAAACGATTAATACACAAGAATCTATTCGTAGATGGGTATCTCCATTTGTTTCAAAATGTCGTAAACAAGGTACACTTGATGTTAATGATCTCTATGAACCTCTTCCTGATTGTGAATCAGCAACACTAACAAATAAACTTGAAGCAAATTGGTTTGCTGAAACTAAACGAAATCCTGACAAACCAAGTCTCATACGAGCTACATTATGCACTATGAGATGGAAACCATTACTCTTTGGTCTTATTCTTATTCCTGCTGTATGTCTAATATTCTAATCGACTTTTTTCATTTCGTAATTTCCATTTGATAGGAACTTCTCAATATTATTCGACCACTCTTACTTACATTTTTGATGAGATTCTTTACACCATGTTCTACGATGCCAGCTTGGCATGCCTGGCTTCTAGCCATGAGTATAATTTTTGTCACACTTTGCTCTAGTGCTATTATCAATTATGTAAGTATTGTTTTCTTTGTAAAAAAAAAAAAGTGTCATTGTATTCGTCTAGCAAATTTACTTAATCGATATTTTGGCTATGCAAATGCGTGTTGCTTACAGTGGTCTGATCTTTCGAAAAGCAAGTATCAATATGTGAGAAATGATTAATTAAATTATAAAATTTAAATTGTTAGGTGCTTCGTTTATCGAGTCATGCATGTAATAGTATTAGCTCAGGTGAAATTACTAACCTGTTATCGAATGATGCAACTAAAATTGAAATGACTCTTTTTTTCATTAACTATTTGTGGGTATGTTAACAATTTTATTAAGTGTATTACCTATGTAATTTGCTTGTTTACAAAAGTCGAGAATGATATCATGACTTTTTTTAAAATTTTACGATCTAAAAGACAAAATTCATACGTGAAACAAATAGAATCTGTTACAAATCTTACGTTAGTTTCCTTTTTGAAAGTAATAAATACAAATCATTGATTAGAATTAACATCTATATCAGTTAAAGACAACTGTAAAAACATACGTCTTCGGGGGGAAAAGAAACACTTCTTTTATATTTTCTCGACTAAATTACAAGTTTTTCTGATTTTTGGGTCAATTATAAATTCTTTTTATTTTCTCTTGACTATTTCCAAATCTTCCTTCGTTCTTTAAAAATTCATGGCAAACAAATTAATAGACTAACGTAAGGAACAAAAAACCTGATTCGTAGAGAGGACATTTGGAAAATAACTGCGTATTTAGAAAAAGTTAAATCGCTTACCCACTCAAAAGTGAAGCAGCATTTCGACAAGTCAACGGACAAGAGAGAGTAACCATACATAAGAAACTGTATTCTTTGTTGTTTATTGAAGTTTTAGACTAGAAAATAATTGAAACGTTCATTTTTCTCCATAATAGAAATATCAGTTGAGCTGAAACTTCATACTTTCGCTACTGAACACTATTGCAATTGAATACTGTTTTCCAATATTAAAAAATTGTTCTATTCATTGTTGGGATAACACGATACATGTCTGTTATTTTTGAGTCTAAATACAATGTTTATAAGATGTCTCAAATAATTATTCAATAAAACATTAGCCTCGTATGAAACTTCAGTAGAGCAATGAGAATATTTGTTAAATTTTTATTCTTCATCATAGAAGTATAGTATAGCAAAATTCTACTAACAATTCTAGAATACAAAGTCAAATGTTTAGTAAACTGTTCGATTTCTGAATGATTCTTTATCAGACTATACTGAAAATCAAAGATGTGCGGCTCATACAAATAATTCTTTTTTCTTTCATAGCTTGCTCCACTTGAAATCCTTACTTTGACCTTACTGTTCTGGTATTATGTCAAGCATGTTTCTTTAATTGCTATCAGCTATACATTTGTACTTCTGGCAATTCAAACTGTCTTCAGTCGTGTCATGCTTCATTTTCGGTTTGTCGTATCTGTTAACAATGACTTTCTTGATAGCTTATTAGATTTATAATAGAAACAACATTTTACAAATAACAGATCAACGTGTAAAGATTATGTCTGAAATAATTAAATCAATGCGTATTGTTAAAATGTACTGTTGGGAAATGGCATTCGATAAAAAAATTCGTCATGTGAGAAGGTAAACTCTTCCTTTCTTCTTTTCATTTTAGTTTCATGAACTTCTGAAATCGAATTTGTTTTTTAGACGTGAAATTATTCAATATATGTGGAGTTTGATATTTGACTGTATTCAAATGCTCTTTTCACATACATACATGAATGTAACATTTTTAATGATGTATGGAACAATGTGGTGGTTCAATATTCGATTTGATATAAGTTTTTTTGCTGTTGCATCTTGTTTGCTTGGTCATATGAGATTGACTGTTGTTGAGTTTTTTAATAATGCTGTGAGAGATCTTGTTCATTATCTAGCTGCTCAGAAACGAATACAGGTCAGATTTTTTTAAATACTTTTATCGATAGATCTTATGCAACAATGTTGATTGTAGACATTTCTTTTACTTGATGAATCTGAACGAGACAATCGATTATTGTCTCAATCACATTCAGAGCTTGCATGCATCGAAAAAAATGATTTAACAATAGTGAAAAGTGTTCCAACACAATCACCAAAAGTTGTATGCAATGTGAAACAAGCACAATGGGACAAGGTATACTTTTGCGTGAGACTAAGAAGAATAATTGAGAGTTTAGTTTCTGAAAGTTTCTAAAAATTTCATAACTTTCTTCAGTATATATGCTGGTAGAATTTTAAGCTATTCACAATGTATGTGAGGTAAACACAATTCACAATATCAGCATAATGTCCTTTTTGTAATGATTGAATAAATCGTGTCGAGTCGGATTGAAAACTGCAGATATGAATATATTTTTCTTCTATATTTGAAATTAATGGTATAGTGAAATTTTGGTTCAATTGCTTTTTGCTTTTGAAATATATTCTTGTATGCAACTCGGCGATTTTTATCCAATGATCACAAAAAAAAGGAAAAAACAAAGTCGACTGAAACTATAAATTGTTGGTACTTTAGATCCAATATAAATACCTTGAAATTCGAATATTACAGTCTGTGCATGCCATCAAATGTTCATATTTTGAACTTTTCACTTTAGCGATGAGACATAATCTGACTCGAATAATGTCTAATCTATTGCATTGTTCTAAGAAATAGCAATGACTTTTCTTAAATTCCTGGCAGTTGTGCTACAAGTTCCAGTGATTGGACTCGGCCCAACCTAACCGTACCCCAGTTACATCCTTATAGTATAATTATAAATGAATGAAGCAATACTCTTCATTGTTGAATTAGCCGCAGTCGAAAGATTCAAACTAATACTGATATACTACTATTTAGGATGGATCATTTTGTCTTAAAAATATTGTATTCGATGCTCATCCAGGTGATTTGATCTGTATCATTGGACCTGTAGGAGCTGGAAAGGTCTGTTCATTTTTACAAAAACCTATCTACATAAATGTTCACATATAGAGTTCTCTTTTACAAACACTCACTGGTGAAATTACAATTTTCGATGGAAAAATTCGAATGCATGGTTCATTCTGTTATGTACCACAAGAATCATGTGAGTTATTTTCATTGATACAGTAAACAAAAAACTTTTTTTTTTGATTGAATTAGGGATATTTTCTTCAACTATTAAAACAAATATTCTCTTTGGTAAAGCATATGATCGAAACCTATTTCGAGATGTTGTGAAAGCAACTGCACTTGATACAGTATGTACAATTAAAGATTACACATACATCTACATTTATGATAAATAGGATTTTGTTCAATTACCTAATGAAGAAAATACTCTTGTTGGTGATCAAGGTGTTATGCTTTCAGGAGTAAGTAACTCATTGTTCAATATAAAACTGAAATAGAAGACTGATAATCCTTTAGGGTCAAAAAGCACGTGTTAATATGGCTCGAGCACTCTATCGCAATGCAGATATCTATCTTTTAGATGATCCTCTATCTGCTGTTGATGTCAAAGTAGCTAAACATCTCTTTCAAAAGTACATCAATTTTATATAGTATTGAGATTTATTAATCAATCTTCTATCATAGATCTATTAAAAGCTATCTTGCTGACAAGATTTGCATATTGGTGACACATCAAATTCAATTCTTACAAGATGCCACTAAAATTATTGTACTTAACAATGTATGATTTGAAATCAGTTGAAGATTTTTTTTTGTCTTAAATTATTGAATGTTGTTATAGGGTGAAATGGTACATATGGGTAAATACACTGATCTGCTTGCATCATCAACATCGTTTGCTCGTTTACTTGATGATATTCATCAATTTGAACAACAACAATCTATCGAACTTCATCAACAACAATCGATTATTAGTTCAACATGTTCAGACGATGATGAAATTTTGATACTTTCGAAAACTGCTGAAACAAAACAAAAAGGTATAGTCAAACGACATGTATATACAGCATATATAAAAGCTGGTTTTGGTCTTATTATGGGTTTATTCATCGTGATCATTCTGTCATCTATGCGAGAAGCAACATCAATATTTAGTAATTGGTGGCTAGCAAAATGGAGTGATGATGAAAGTTATCGATATAGAATTTTAGACAATTGTACAAGTCTTCAAAATAATAATAAAAATAATAATAATACGATATGGTCGATGAGTAATGCAGAATGGAATAATCATCGAAATCAACAATTCTACATCTATTGTGGTTTGTATTTATATAATGATCAGATTTCTTCACATGTCAAATTCATTTCTAGTGATCGTACTTATTCTTGTGCTTATGACTTTTTTCCGTTCAGTTATTACTGAATTCATGTGTTTAAATGCTGGTCGAGTACTTCACAACAAGTACATATTTATCTCCAACATGATTTTTTGCATGTTAGTTATTTGTTCATTCAAATAGAATGTTCCGACGATTGATCCGTTGTCCGATTGGTTTCTTCGACACAAATCCTGTTGGTAGGTGAAGTAGGAGAGAAACTAATCTCATGTTTTTAATCTTTGCATAAGTATTGAATGATGTTGGATGATTTTATTTTACTTGTCTCGTTGCTCATACTGATTGACATGGTCGTCCGAAGAAAATATCAAGGAATCGTCATCATAAGCACAGGAGTTTTTCATGTATTTCTAAATAGTTTTAGTGACATGACTATCCTAACGCATGTTTTGAACAAGAAAAAAAGCATTCTAATTACTATATTATAAATGGATATTTTTTTACGAGTGTTGTGTTGAAAGATTCTACAGTCTATCTTGATATCAGTTCGTAATGAGGTCGAAATAGTTGAAGAATAGGGAAATTTTTTCTACAATATCAGAATCGAGAAGAATGTCAACCATGAATTTCTTTTTTTTCTAATTCGAAAATAACATACAAAACAGGATACAGTTCTTGGGTAAAAGTTAATCATAAAACAGTAAATTTCAATTCAGAAATAATATCAATAGAAAGAGTTAATTCACATACGTATCAAGTAAACATTTTCTAATCATTCATTGCTTTTAAAAGAAAATTCACCTTATTGAATATGTCCTAGAGTTTAATAAAATGACTAGAATTCATACAGAAAATCCTTAGAGTATAAACTCTATTAGGATTTTTCTAGTCTGATTAATTCCTATTCAACGAACGAAGTTGCGTTTCGATAGGAAAGAGCTAAAAGAAAAACCATGTCAAGTGTCAGAATAGATTGTTTATCTCTTGACTGGTCGACCAAATTTTTAATTTCACTATATGGAAAGAGAGAAAGATGTCACTTCTTTAATTGTGTCTTCCTACCTTTTAAACTCAGCAAACATTCATGATCCATCATAAAAAGAAAACTACTTTTCTATTTGTATGCGTATGTACCATTTTAGGTCGAATATTAAATCGTTTCACAAAAGATGTGGCTACTATGGATGATCAACTACCGCTCGATATCTATGAATTTCTCAACGTAAATCGTTATAGTTTCATTTGTTTGTATTGTTTTGCTGTTCAGTGTTGCTTTGTAGTTCTAGGCACAGTAGTCCTTGTTGGTATGCTTAATCCATGGTCATTCATACCAGCAGTCATATCACTTATTGGTTTACTATATGTACGTTACTGTTTTGCACCATGTTTTCGTGATTTGAGACGACTTGAAAGTATTACACGTAGTCCTGTGTATTCCTATTTGACATCGACTATTCATGGTCTTAAAGTTATTCGATCTTATCATGCAGAACACATGTGTTCAACTGAATTTTTCTCTCATCTTGATGACAATACAAGAGCAAATTATCTCATTTACATTACAGGGCGTTGGGCTGCACTACGCTTTGATTGGGTTGCACTTATTTTCATTGCTCTGGTTACCATACTCTCAATGACACTACGCGTCACTGGACATAGATATTTTTCAACTGCCGATATTGCAATGACACTTTCTTATAGTCTCAGTCTTATGGGACTTCTACAATGGACAATTAGGTAATAAATAAAAAGAACATATTTGATTTCAATTAAAGATTATTATAGATTGTCAGTCGATTTGGAAACAAGAATGACATCGGTAGAACGTGTACTCGAGTACTGTTCTCTGGAGCAAGAACCTCCAGCTCAAGTTCCACTGAATCGTCGACCACCATCAACTTGGCCATCTCATGGTCGAATCGTATTTGACAATGTTTCCATGTCTCATTCGTCTGATAATCAGTCATTACTTGCTCTACGTCACATTTCTATGACAATTGAAGCTGGTGAAAAAGTAGGTATTGTCGGAAGAACAGGTGCTGGAAAGAGTTCATTAATTCAAACATTATTTCGTATGGGAACACTTGTTAATGGACAAATCAAAATCGATAATATTGATATTGCATTGATTGGCTTGGATGATGTTCGACGTCATCTTTCAATCATTCCACAAGATCCTGTTCTTTTTACAGGTACTATGCGAAGTAATCTCGATCCATTCAACGAATATTCTGATGTTGAAATTTGGCGTGCACTTGAACAGGTCTCTATAGTACATTCGATTTAATAGTTTATAACTTAAACTCATTTTAAGGCACAATTGAAAACATTAGTTGCTGATGGAATGTCGAATGGAATTCATTCTATAGTGAGTGAAGGTGGTTCAAATTTGAGTGTTGGTCAAAAACAACTTGTATGTTTAGCAAGAGCTATTCTAAAAATGAGTAAAATTCTTGTGATCGATGAAGCTACTGCTAATGTCGATAATGTGTAAGTAAAATAACTCTTCATCAAAGTTATCGAGTAATGAAATACAATGTCTAGCACTGATGAATTAATTCAACGAGCCATTCGTGAAAAGTTCAAAGAATGTACAGTTCTCACTATAGCTCATCGTTTACGAACAGTGATCGATAGTGATCGTATTCTGGTAGGATAATTCAAATTCAAATTTTTTGTTTGCATGCTATTTATGTATTAAAGGTACTTGGCAATGGAGAATTGCTTGAATTTGATTCACCCAAAATTCTTCTCTCGAATCCGAATTCCCATTTTGCTTCACTCGTCGAACAAGCAGGAGTAGCTGAGGCTGAACATCTTCGAACATTAGCAAATATGAAATCAACGAAAGACAACCACAACCTCGATCAAGAACTATTACTAGATAGCAAAGAAACTGATCCTCTCTTGACATAGAATTTACATATCTAAATACCGTTGAATTCAATGTAGACGATGATTTGTTAGTTGTTGTTAAGATTTAATGCTCTTTGTTAATATATGGCCACCGAAAAAATGCTTATACGGAGCTTTTACTTACCTGTGATTCAGTAAAATAACTTAATTGACAAATTTTCGAATTACAAATGTTCAAAAAGTGAAAGAATGAGAAAATTCGATCAATTTTAGAATTTTTATTCTGTAAGTTTTTGTGAAACCCGACATTATCTTTGTATGAAAAGTCTACTAGGTTATTGATGTGTTTTAAAATAGATAATTTTAGAGGAAGCAAAATCATGTACAGCTGATTTCATAACCAGTCTTTCCATAGTCCTAGTAGGATTTTCTAATTTTATGCAGTATCTAGAGATGTCAATATTCTGTACTTTTTTTACCCAATACATGAATAAAGTTCTATTATTGATCCTGTGAATATTGGCTTTCTTCAATTAGATGATTAGCAGCACAATTAAAAGTTATTATAGATATGAAGCTTTCTCAATCTACTACATTTCCTGATTCGCTAATTGATATGACTATTGAGTTTCTAAAATTTGACTAAATACTCAAATATCGCAGTTCTCTAATTGAAAGTTTGTAGAATTGATCCAACCAAGTTTAAGGATGATCAACTGCAATGCAAAACTTGAAGCTAAGACAAACTTCGACTGACATCAGAAGTTTGTACATCCATTTCTCATCGTTCAAGATAGTGATTTAGAACAATGAACAAAGGAAGTTTTTTTTTGTAAACGAATGAAACATATTTCGATTTTCAATGAAATTTTAACTAACTAATTACTCGACATGGTGATTCCGAAAGCGTCACTGATGAAACAATCATTGAAAATAAAGTATTAGTGTCTCCGATATGTCAAAAATGTGGATGGATTGATCCATTATATGCACTCTTATTTGTGACCTTTGGGAGAAGAACGACTCGCCAAATAATTCTGCTATAGGTTTTCCATAAGTATAATGTACCTTGTCTAAAAAAACATCGCAGGTAGCTCAAGAATGTTTTATTTTGTAGAAAATTGCTTGTTCTATCATTATATGTTGCAAGAGCAAACTCTATATGCAATGCATAGGTACTGGGAAGCTAGTGGTCTAATTGTCTGAAACTCTTTAGCAACTGTTGAGTATTATACGATTTCTCATCTATCTAGCTTTTCTGAAACTTCCGAATGGTATGCAATACCATTCTGAGTTAGTTGAAATTTAGTAGACATTATGTAAATATTTATAAAATTTACACAGAACTCGCATCATTTCTTGCGAAGTCAACATTAATCTAGGCTCATGGCAGCTGTTAACGAAAGTAATGACCATCAGATTCTATTAGAAAAACTTTCGAACTTGTGCTAAGTTTTCCAATAACAGACAAATCAATTTTGTTGCTAAAAACAGTACAGACTTTAGACTTTGTAAGACTAACATAAGCTAAATGAAAGTTAAGTTGCCGAGCATTTTGATTAAATTATTAAGCCTCATTAAATTTGACTTACTCGGGTATAGATGAAAAAATTATTGTTTGATAAATTATAACTTGTTGAATAAATTTGATCATAGAAATATGATAAATGAAAATCTTCTGTTTAAACTATAAGATAAAACTAATGTAATGCGATTTTGTTTCGACCCACAAATAGTGCTAATACAAAATAATTGGAAAAGTGTATTCTCAAATTTTGTTATGATCATTATTGGAAAGACGCATAGTTATACAAATAGAAAAAATTTATGGCATCAAGGCAGTTTGATTAGCAATCTAAAACAACAACTATTAAGAATGAAATTCATGAAAAGTATGTAACATAGTCTTACAAAATAAAAAACACATAAGTAAATTGCTTAAATTTGTAAATTTTTCAAAGGAATAGAAATACACTTTCCTTGAATTCGTAATAATACTATCATGTATATACTGAAAACTAGTTAGTGATAATAAAGATAACTGCTTTTTATATTATATATATGTTGAAATTCAGATGCATATCTATGAAGAGATCGATCATTAAATATCTATTCCTATGTTACAAACTGAATACCGTGGTAAAAGATGAAGTATCAGATAATCTATATACTTGTTTTCTAATAAATTATTAAACTATCTAATAGTGTATCAATTCATTTTAATTTTAAACAACTCAATCTTCAAACATAACATAATTAAATCAATGTACTATTGTTGATGTACCCACATCATGTATATTAAATTCACTATAAATTGACATGTATAAGTATACCATAAAACGAAGTTTTAATTCAATGTACACATTCATCAGTTTGAAATTCAAAATATAATGTTAATCATAACATTTAAAACAAAACAATAAAAAATAAAATTGTCTTATGGAACAAATTACTTTTATGTAACAACTCTTTTATTTATCTGTCATTTTATATAACACATGTTTATATCTAAAAGTAACTCCATGGATATCCATATTTTATAAGTGTAATGATAGATGAATCGATTCTCAATGAACGTTACTTATTCTGTTTATTCAAACAAATTTATTAAAACTTATTAATAAATGATCAATAGTTCATAATTAGAACCAAATTAAAATACTTGTTGTTATATCTTATTATATTACATTGATTTTATAGAAATTCAATTGATATTCATAAGAAAATATTCATTTTCTTATTTTGAAAAAAAAACAAACTGTGTAAAATATGAAGCATAAATGTTTGAATTTTATTTCATAAATAAATACTGTTCATTGTTAATAAAAATACATAGAAGGTAAATAAGAGAAGAAAAAAAACTGTTAATGAAAGAAATAAAATAAAATCAAAACGAAACGAAGCGCAGATTAATTAGAAATAAAAAGCAAACTAATCTTTACATTGAACGCATAAATGTACCAAATTCTGATTTATCAATTCTTCCATCATGATTAACATCAGCATAATTAAACATAGCACCAGCTGGATCATATTGATTACTTTTTCTAGCAACATTTGGTGCACCAATACCAACATCAGGACCAACACCATATGCATGACCTCCTGATGGATTAGCACCTCCCGTATATTTTTCATAATCTATTGGATTTGGTGTAAAACCAGCAAAAGCTACATCAATACCAACAGGATATGTTATTATTTGACTTGCATTAGATATATGAAACTATATTATTTGAAATTATTTTTTTATGAAAGATTATTTAAATAAGAAAAATGAAAAACTTACATTTCGTTGAATATCTTGATCATTGATATTTCCAGATAATCTTCTTTCATCTCTAATTGGTCCAAGAAATTGTCGAAATTCTCGCTCATCAATTGTACCATCACGATTTAAATCAGCACGATTAAATTGACTTTCGATTCTGTGTTGTTCACCCATTTTGTTTTTTATGTATAAATATTTGAATATTAATTGATTATTTGCTAAAGAAAATTTTCATTGTATATATAGTTTACTTATGACGTCAACATTTTTAATCAACCGAAACGTATATCGTCATCAATGCATATTTTACATTTTTTCTCATATGATCGATATATTATTTTTTTTTAAAAACCTCCACAGTAAACATGACATTTACGTAGATCGTTTTTTTTATGCTTTTCTCTATTCAAATAATTTATCTTTCCTTTTCTTTTTTTAATGGTTAATCATTATTAATATTTATAATTATTACCTGAAATTACTTTGACCTGTAGAATATATAATTATTTACTTACTAAAAAAAAACATTCAGTAAAATTAATAAGAAAATTTCTAAAAAAAGAAGATTGGTGACGTAGATTCTTTGTAAGTTTGATTTTAAACTCACATATCTTAATTAGATTGAATTTAGTAATAGAAAATCGTCAATGTATACAATCTGTAAAAGATGATTTTTATTTTTGAATGATTGATCGATTATCAGAAAAGGATCTCTGTCTTAAATATTTTTGAATATTCGAAAACTTGTTATGTGAATATTGTTAAGTTTTACAATAGAGACGAGAGAGAAAAAAGTCACAAGTCTTTAATTAATTAATTTTTCGAAAATAATTCACTTTTACAAAATTTTATCGAATTATTGAATGTAAATATTTATTTAAATCATATAAATATAATAAATAAAATTGATTATTTCTAATGTTCATAGAAAAGATAATATTAATGAAAAAATTAACTGTTTTAATTTATCTTTATTTAGAAAATCTTTTCTTATAAAATAAAATATTATTTTTAAGTTTGTTTATCACATTCAAATATTTATCAATAAATTATTTTATTTAATTCTGTTGATTAGTTCATCTATTTAAATAATATTTTAAATAGATTAGAAAAAAATATCTTATTTATCTTCTTATGATTAAATATCAAAAACAATAAAATCTATTAATTGTCTTTATCGTATTTTTATCAATTTAAGACTTTCTTTCTCATGATCAAAACTTAGAGGCTTGCACTGAAATTCTTTCAGTATTGTGATCACAATAGTCTCTAAAGTGCATACGAAAAGTTTTATTTACATCGATTAAATGATAATATAGTTAACTTTTCAACGATGTGAATGAAGAGAATACATTTACCAACACGTGCACGTTTACCAACATGTTCACATTTATCAACACGTGCACATTTATCAACATGTATCTGTATAAGAAACAGAAAAAATATACTCCGCAGAATAACATCACACTGTAGCAAATATATTGGTTTCTCTATGTTATCGTACGATTCACTTAAGTTGAGTATTTCTTTCTTTTGATTTTTATTTCTACCACGTAGTACAGGTGGCAAGTACGTCATACATATATGTATTCTCTTGTTTACCTTTAGTTATTTTCGAAATGTTTCCTTCTTCTGATATTATCTAAACGCTTTTTTTTTCAATGTTTTTATTTTTTTCAAGCTTATTCACATATAATTATATAAGATGTCCCATGATAATGAACGAGAAAATATTAATGATATTTTTCATACATTTTTTTAACCTTGAAAGCTGAAATTTTTATCATTTATAACATGCGATGCATAAGTCTTTGAATAAACTATCGAACTCTGTTAGATCATATTGCGAACTTCTAAATTAGTGAATTTTGTTTTTCGTGGAAAATAGCAATATCTCAACTACAAACTTTCTACTAAATTTTTTCTTTTCTGGAATGAATCTATGAAGCAGAAGAAATCAAAAACTTAACATCTCTTGAAAAAACAAAGTTCTTGCAACGTTTTTGCAACTTGAAAAGTTTCTATTGCTCAACTATTTAGGACTACATGAATCGAGTTCTAACAAAAAATCATCTATCAATATGAAGCACATCAAAAGCTCTATCAATACCAGTTTTAATATCAGGTCTTGACTTTTTCATAGAAAAAAATTAGGATATTGACGCGTTTTCGTAAAATAAAATCTTCTTCAAGAACTATCAGTTTCGAAGGAGAATAAGCACTATCTTCAGAAAATCTATCTGGACTGAATTCTTTGTATGTTATTTGTTCAAAATAGTTCAGATCCTAAAAACTTAGTAGAAAATAAAAGAATTCAAAACAAGTTTTTTTTTCTATTGTTGCAAAACAGTTGAGTAATAAGAAAGACCAAATTAGACAGTGTCTTTCACAGTTACAAAAATCACCATTAAACATGTGTTTTCATTTTGTTTTTGATGTAAAAAGAAAAATGAACAGAAAATAAAGAATGATAATGTGGCGAAAGTGACATTGCAAGAATTTTTTTAGAGATGTTTAGTTTTTGATTTCTTCTGCTTCATAGATTCATTTCAGAAAAAAAAGTCTAGTAGAAAACTTGTAGTTCAGACATTAGTCTTTCTAATAAAAAAGAAATTTGATTGATTTAGAAGTTATCAATATGATCTAATAGATTTCGATATATGTCCAAAGACTTTTGCATTGTATGTTATATTCAATAAGGATGTTTTTTTTATAAAAGTTTCAGCTCTCTACGCGAAGCAAAAGTATGAAAAATATTAATAACAATTTTTCGTCAATTATTATGGAATATTCTTTATGAGTGACCATTTGGAGAGTAAAGAAGAAACTCAATACTGATCTGTTAGATCAATTATAAGTGAACATTCTCTCATGACATGACTTTAGTTCACGATATAATATAGTTTATTTGTCTGAGTAGAAAATAAAGGTTTTATGAAGAATGGTATGTTCGGCTTATTGTTATAAAATCTACAATTTTGTATAATATTAGTTTCTATATGTCTTATAAATTAAGAGAATGAAGCTTTTTAAAACTTAATAGCTATAGCTATCATGGGGAAAGAATTAATATAATAATCAGTTGAAATTCTTGAGTTTACTAGCTAGTTGGATAAGAGAATTCAACTGATGAAAAACTCCTCTGATTTATATTTAAATTAAGCTTCTCACACTTCGAAATAGTCACTTTTCGTCAGAATGATCAAAATTAAGATAAATGCAGAAGTAGTTAAACCATGATCTGATCTCTTATAAACAATACGAAATTTTACTTGACATTTAGTTTTTTCAAAGATTTTTGAAGATTTCTCCGATTCGGTAAATAAGCTGTTTTGAAAAAAAATTGAAAATCTTTTTCATTTTTTTCTCACTTTATAGGTTTTCCTCTCCAAGATTTCTTAGAGAAGCTTCATTGTAATCAAACAAGTTTTTTGTTTGAAAGAGCCTAGTAAACTGCACTGCCCATGAGAGCCCGTTTTTTGAATGAAGTTTTGTTCTTCCTATATTGAAAAGTAATTTTATAATTAGAGCGCCTTTTTAAAAAGAGTCTTTCGAATTATTGAACTTGTCACCCTTTTCTTCGCTCGAAAGATAAGAATTTTCAAAAAAGGATTCTCATAGGCACTGCATTCCGGCATGCCATTTCAAATAAAAAAAAAAGAATTCAGTGTATAGAATGAACACTATTGATGATTTTTGGAGGCGATATTAGTTATTTTCTGACTCTTGTTGAGTTGATATCTTACTCAAATATTAATAAATAAACTTTTTTCAAAACCAATTTGCCTATAGAATTCAAATGAAATATTAAGTAAATTCAATAATATGCGACAATCGTATATTTAATTGATAATATTCTGTAAACATTAATATTAACAATCAAATAAAAACTTTTTCAAAGATTTTCATCTACTACATTGCAATAAGTCATTTCGAACAATATATACGACCATTGTTCTTTAATAAATACTTAATTTGTTGACAGTGTTTAAAGTGCTCGAAACTCGTATGTCTATTTGATTATAGTTGCTTTGAAAAAATTTACTAAATTCTTATTCATTTCAAAATAAAAGAAAGGTAAGTATTTTTGGAATCATTTTTTATAAGAACAAGATATAGATCTGCGTTTTTCTTGATTTAAAAGAGAAGATAAAACTAATGTCCATTTCAAAATACTCGGCAGGTTACCATTTTTTGAGTATCTTTTGATAGAAACAGGATAGAAAGATATGGTCTTCACCATTCAAAAGAGCGATGATCGAGCTATCGATTCGTATAAAACTCATTAAGGCGAAAGACGTTGTTTAATAGGCATCTTTGGATGAACACTTGTTCCTTCGAATATTTTCATCAATTTTCATAATAGTCTCCAATAAAATTATGTCAAAATGTACCTCAAACCACCCTTTTTTCTCTATAAAATTGACACTTGTTTTTTTTTAATCGACGTAGAATGAGGGGCTGAGAAATAATGAAACGAACCTCAATTTTATAGCAAAAACAGCGTGATTTGAGGTACATTTTGACATCATTTTATTGGAGACTATTGTAAAAATTGACGAAAACACTCGAAGGAAAAGTGTTCATCCAAAGATGCCTATTAAACAACGTCTTTCGTCTTAATGAGTTCTATACCGATCGATAGCCCGAACATCGCTCTTTCGAATGATGAAGACCATAGCTCTCTATCTTATTCCTATCAAAAGTTATTTAAAAAATAATAACCTACCTTTTATTTTGAAACGAACACTACATTTCATCATGTTTACCAGATTGTTTTCTACCAAGTTTTCTCCGAATCTGCTACCAAGTTCTTCAACAAAACCAATTTTTTATAGACTTATAAGATAGATTTCTCGTCAAAAGCCAGAAAAAAAAGTTCAATTTGTTGTAAAATAAGTCTGATGATAGCAGATAGTAAAACCTTTATAACTAATGATTAACTGAACCATAGAAGATTGAACTTACATAATTTGTAAATCCTTACCCATATCGTTCGAATCTACAAAAAACTGCCGGTGAATCGCAGTTCATCGATAATTTTTCATGACTATCCTCTCACACAGTAAGTACATTATATCTGATTTACTTTACAAATAACTTAAATTTACTAATTCACACATACAATGGGTTCATAAACACAGATTTTTTTTTGGTGAATATTATAAGAAGAC